TGTGTGTGTGTGTGTGTGTGGTACTGTGTTGTTTTTGGGTCACTTGCATACCTTAGCTGCTGTGATGGAAGGTGAAACTGTCCGTGTCACTGGATGAGGGCTAGGTAAGGTAACTGCTAAAGGATGTTTTCCTCTTAACTGAAATTAGAAATAAACTTAACTCAAATAATTTTGATGACGTGATTTCAGGTTGAGACTAATTGTTTTTCTGGCTTTGATGCGTTTGTACTAAACACGAAAGCGTGCTCCGGCTGGTTGAATTCAAATGAGTCATAACTTGTTTACTTTGTGTTAATTGGTTCAGGAAGAGAGAATCCATTTTAATAAAACTCTAAATTCATAAATTAGTTCAAAATGGAACTGATAATGATTTTTTAGTAATAACAGCAACTCTATCCAGATGGAGCCTGTGTGGGATTGAGTTGTCTCGTCTTTTCTCTCTCATCTCTGACACAGAGTCGCTAATGAAAGTCTACTTTGAAAAGAGCCTTTTTGTGCAGCTTATGCTCTTGTCCTCGTTCTCCTCTCGTGTTTCTCCTAGCCTGTCCTCTCTGTCTGGCACACAGCAGCTGCTGATGACGCAGGGAGAGCAGAGGATAGAAAACAGGATGGAAGGGAAGCAGGGTTTTAAATGAGGAATGCCTTTTATAACAACATAGCAGCAAAAGCAGACTACTTTTATTTTTTAATTCATTGTTAAAAGGCCTAAAAATGCTGGGTGTCTGAATTGTTTATATTTTAAAATGGAAAAACCTCCATTGTTGACTATTTTAAACTTGCAGAATAGCAGAAAACATGCTGCAGTGTGTGCAGGCACAACACTGTGAAGGCTTGACCCAGATCTTCACGTGGTTACTGACCCTTTGAACTTAGAGGTGTCACGCTGCGAGCGCAGGAGGATTGGACCCAAAGCGCATAACACTGCACACCTCAAGGCAGGAGAGGTTGTATAAAATAAAAATCATTTTATTAGGAAAAACAAAACTGCAGGACTCTAAGCATAAATATCTAAAGTTCTAAAGACAAAAAAACAAAAGCTCACTCATGAGCCAGGATCTATAGGTCTGTAGAGGACAAGGCAACGCTGACACAAGACAATGAACTGACAACACACTGAGACCCAGACAGGGTTATATACACAGGGGTTGGGTGATTAAGGGAATTGGGCAGAGGTGAGACTAAAAACAGAGAGGAGGAGCAGAACGGAGTAGGGGAGGAAACCAGACCTAAACTGGGGAAGAAGCATAAATGAACCAAAGGGAGATACTGACTAAATAATCCAAACATAACGGAAACCTAATGATAAGTGTGGTGACTAAGGAAAACGTGAGGGAAACCTAGAGAGAACCTGGAGGGGGCTGGGGAACACAAGGAGGCACATGGGGGAACGCAGACAAGGAGACACATGAGGAACACAAGGGGACACATGAGGGAGACGCAGAACATGACAAGAAGAAATCATGTGCACAGAATAAAGATTAGTGAAAAATGTCTGAGATTCAAGCAGTTTTGTTTGGATCTGATCAGTAATACACGACATCCAGACACACCATTTGGTCAGAACAGAAGTCCATGCTGAGGAGGGTGATGTTTTCCGCTCTGTTCACTGATTATTCACTTGGATGTTTGAGGGAGTGCTGGCAGGAAAGGCAGCCTGTAAACAGGTGTCAGAACTGCTGTGCACGAGTGTAAGTGTGTGTGAGCCACAGTTGCTTTCTGATCAAACTTATGATGCTCACAGTGCCCAGTTGTCATAGTGACGGAGGGTAGCAAGAGGAGCCTGCTCATTGCGCCACCTGATTGTGAGTGTGAGAGAGAGAGTCAGACAGAGGGTAGGAAGCAGCGACACGGAGTTGTGCAGCAGCGATGGAGAGACGGGCTTTTTGCTGCCATCAGTGTTTTCATCAGTAGACTCGTACTGCTGTGTCGTGGGGATTGGAGACGCTTTGCCACTTCTTCTCCTTGTCTCATACATCAGCTTGGATTATCTGCCTACATTCTGTGTTTAAATAGGAGGATGCTGATGCTCACTGGCATGTGTGTCAGGTGTGTGTGAAATGGGAGTTTATGTGTGTTGATACCCTTGCTGTCTTGGACACACACAGCTTGACTCAATGCCTGGTGCCTCTGAAAGGCTGAGGGACACGCAGCAGGCCTGACCGGGGGCCCTACATGCCATGGTAAACAACTCTGATTACAAACTTAGCCTGGGGTTAGCCTCAAGGAGCTAACCTGTTTCAGCAGCTTTCTGTTTTAGTGACAGATTGAGAATTTTGGGAGAGTTTGAGTTAGTCTGTGAATCCGTGTGATAATTTCTATTTTTCAGCAGTATGCTAGCAACGTGAGTCAGTGACTCTGGCATGCTATTTGTGTTGAAAGATTCATGATCGGATGCAAGTGTTTAATTGAGCTATTTTCAGGATGCAGCATGCTACCTGATTGCAGACATTGCTGTTTTAATTTAGCTGAGTGTGTGAGCTCTCATCTCCCCCTGCAGTCTGCCCATGCATGTGTTGGTGAAGTTAGTAAGTGTAATACTATGTGTGTGTGTGTGTGTGCACGCACGCACGTGTGTGTGTGTGTGAGAGAATAAAAGAAAATGAGAGAGAGAGAGAGAGAGAGAGAGAGAGAGAGAGAGAGAGAGAGAGAGAGAGAGAGAGAGAGAGAGAGAGAGAGAGAGAGAGAGAGAGAGAGAGAGAGAGAGAGAGAGAGAGAGAGAGAGAGAGAGAGAGAGAGAGAGAGAGAGAGAGAGAGAGAGAGAGAGAGAGAGAGAGAGAGAGAGAGAGAGAGAGAGAGAGAGAGAGAGAGAGAGAGAATGAGCGAGAGAGAAAGTGAGAATGAGCGAGAGAGAAAGAGAGAGAGAGAGATAAAGAGTGCATGTGTGTGTGTGTGTGTGTATGTGTGTGTGTGTGCGTGTGTGTGTGTGTGTGCAGGCTGTGTTCCTCCCGGTTCAGGATCATGTAAAAGTTGCGACAATGTGAGATTTTGCGTCCTGAAGCATTTTTTGATTCTTTGACTTCTGTGCAAATGTATAAGTTTGTGTAGTTTGTGTTTCTTGTCTGAGATCAGAAACCATCACATTCAGTCACAAGAGAGAGTTAAAGTGTTTGTTGCAGTTAGCAAAAAACTAAATGCTAGGATGAGATTGTGAGCAATTAATATTTTAATTGAAGTTGCACATTGACTTGGAATAAAATATTAATATTTAAAGGGCAGGTATATTGTCCTTTCCATTGTCAAAATTGGTGAAGCAAAGACCTAGCAAATCATTTTCTTAATCAGGCAATCTGTCTCTGGGAATTAGTTTGGCCAACCTAAATAAACAATTTAGCACCAGCAACTGTCTTCTCCGGGTCAGGGATGAGGTCCTGCCACTGTGGAGGAGTTTAAGTATCTTCGGGTCTTGTTCACGAGTGAAGGCAAAGTTTGAAGAAGCTTGTGATTCTGTTATTTTATTTTATTCTCCCAATGCTACTTTTTTATTTGTTAAACGCACATCTTATCTTTCAAAATGTCTTGGTTCTGTTTTATAGGAAGAATGCAAGCAGATTATGGCACGCCAGAAATCTAACAGCCAGTCAGACTCACATGATGATGAAGTTTCTCCTCCTCCACCAAACCCTGTTGTCAAGGCCCGTCGCCGCAGGGGAGGAGTCAGCGCTGAAGTGTACACCGAGGAGGATGCTGTCAGCTACGTTCGGAAGGTCAGTTAACTCTTCAGCTGAAATGCTTTCAACGCCATCTCTCATACTCTAAAACATAAAGAAAGATTAGATTTGATATTTTCTTTACTAGAAAATTGGTACTTCGGCTCCTACTGAAAGCAGGGATGCAAAATGAGCATTAGACAGATTAGAGACAGGCAGTGTAAATCTGTGATTCCAGTTAATAAACATACTTACACACTTATCTGAGTCTACAGCAAATAATTTGTGAGTGTCAGACAGATGTCAGTGAGTTTAATATATTCAAGGGTAAGCACGCAAATAGCTTTAAGGTAAGAAGTAAGACCTAAAAATCAATGCTGAATCTAACAGGTAGCCATTTTATTGAGGCAAGGACATCAGAAATGTTTTTGTGTCAGTTCGAGCCTCTGCTGAGTCCCGCATAAACTACAGTGGTTAAAGGAGTGGACGACAAAAGCATAAATAACAAGACTGAATATTGTTTTCCATTTGAGCATCAATGTCTTATAAACCACACGTTACTGCTCAAAAGTTGGATTCACTTAGAGGATTCCTTAATTTCCATAGTGACATTAGTCTTAATAGGAAATTTAGAAAACAAAGATGCAGGTGTTTAGAAATCAAGATTTAAACTGAAATAATGAATATTTTCTTTGCACTTTGCTTCAATTAAAAACCTTAGCTGCAATCATTCATAATTCTAGTTTCAATTTTTCAAGGTAATCTGATGACATCATGCTTCCTGATGGATCTTGTGACCGCCTTCTTTGTGCAAATCTCTTATTTTACCATTTAATAATTCATTAGCCTCATACACTGCCTGGCCCAAAAATGTTGCCACCTGGATTTAACTAAGCATCATTAAAAACTGATAAATCCAGACTGACCATGTTCCAGAGTGATGGGTGCATCAGGGTAAGAAGAGTGGCACATGACGTGATGCACCCTTCATGCCTAGTGCCTACTGTACCAGGCTGTGGTGGCAGTGTTATGATCTGGGGTTGCTACAGTTGGTCAGGTCTAGGCTCAGCAACAGGATGTGCTCCAAGAATGAGGTCAGCTGACTACCTGAATATGCTGAATGACCAGGTTATCCCATCTTCCCTGATGACATGGGCATATTCCAAGATGACAATGTCAGGATTTATCAGGCTCAGATAGTGAAAGAGTGGCTCAGGGAGCATAAGACATCATATTCACACATTGATTGACCATCATGGAGTCCAGACCATAACCCCATTGAGAATCTTTGGGGTGTGCTGGAGACAGGTTTGTGCAGCGGTCAGTCTCTACCATCATCAATGCAAGATCTTGGTGAAACATGAATGCAACACAGCATGGAAATAAATCTTGAGACATTGCAGAAGCTTATCAAAACAACGCCACAGAGATTGTGTGCTGTAATCAAAGCTAAAGGCGGTCCACTGTAATATCAGTGTGTGACCTGTTTTTGGTCCAGCAGTGTTTATGTTTATGTTTATTTATTTGGCAGATGCTTTTATCCAAAGCGACTTACAATTTATAACCTATAGGACATGTTGTGATCTGTGGGGGAAACCGGAGTACCCGGAGGAAACCCACGCATGCATGGGGAGAACACGCAACTCCCTGCAGAAAGGCCGCAGCCGAGTTTCGAACCTGCAACCTTCGTGCTGCGAGGCAACAGTGCTAACAACTGCACCACCATGTGTAATACGATTAACTTGGATTAGGAGGTTGATGCAGAGAAGTGAAAGTAGCTGATGAGGCCTTTGTTAACAAATTTAGACTTTAAGTTTTCTCATAAATCTGAAAACTTTGTGGAATGATCAAAGCTGTTCCCTGGGCTGCCACCTTACCGTGGTGGAAGGGTTTGAGTGTCTCAATGACCCTAGGAGCTAAGTTGTCTGAGGCTTTCTGCTTCTGGTAGGATCACCCATGGCAAACAGGTCCCAGGTGAGGGATCAGACAAAGAGCAGCCCGAAGACCTCTTATGATGAATTATATAAATGGAAACCGTGTTCCCTCGCCTCGACGTGGGTCACCGGGGCCCCCCTTCTGGAGCCAGGCCTGGAGGTGGGGCACGTTGGCGAGCGCCTGGTGGCCGGGCTTTCACCCATGGAGCCCGGCCGGGCACAGCCCGAAGAGGAAACGTGGGTCCCTCTTCCCCTTCCCATAGGCTCACCACTCGTGGGAGGGGCCAAAGGGGTTGGGTGCAGTGTGTGATGGGTGGTAGTTGAGGGCGGGGACCTTGGCGGTCTGATCCTCAGCTACAGAAGCTGGCTCTTGGCACATGGAATGTCACCTCTCTGGTGGGGAAGGAGCCTGAGTTGGTGTGTGAGGTTGAGAGGTTCCGACTAGATATAGTCGGATTCACCTCAATGCATGGCTCTGGCTCTGGAACTGGTTTCCTTGAGAGGGTTTGGACTTTCTACCACTCTGGAGTTGCTCCCACTGAGAGGCGCCGAGCAGGGGTGGGCGTACTAGTTGCCCCCCCATCTTGGTGCCTGTACATTGGGGTTTACCCCAGTGAATGAGAGGGTAGCCTCCCTCCGCCTATGTGTTGGGGGACGGGTTCGGACTGTGGTCTGTGCTTATGCACCAAACTACAGTTCAGACTACCCACCCTTTTGGGAGACCTTGGAGGGGTGCTGGAAAGCGCTCCTTACGGTGACTCCCTTGTTCTGCTGGGGGACTTTTAACGCTCATGTGGGCAACGACCGTGAGGATACCTTAGGCCGCAGCTCGATTATCGACTTTGTTGTCGTTTCATCTGACCTGCGGCCGCATGTCTTGGACACTCGGGTGAAGAGAGGGGCGGAGCTGTCAACTGACCACTACCTGGTGGTGAGTTGGCTCAGATGGTGGGGGAGGATGCCGGTCAGACCAGGCAGGCCCAAACGTGCTGGGAACGTCTGGCCGAGTCTCCTGTCAGAAGGAGCTTCAATTCCCACCTCCGACAGAAATTCCAAAATGTTCTGGGGAGGCGGGTCTGAATGGACCGTGTTCCGTGGCCTGTGGGACTCCAGAGGCAGGTGACGGGTACCGGCAGTCCAAGCGGAATGCGGCTCGGGTGGTCGCCAAGGCAAAATCCCGGGCATGGGAGGAGTTCGGTGAGACCATGAAGCAAGACTTCCGTACGGCTTCGAGGAGATTCTGGTCCACCATCCAGCACCTCAGGGGGGGAAGCAGTGCGCAAACAACACTTTCTATAGTGGGAACGGTGTGCTGCTGACCTCTACTCAGGACGTTGTGGATTGGTGGGCAGAATACTTCGAAGACCTCCTCAATCCCACAGACACGTCTTCCAGTGAGGAAGCAGAGTCTGGGAACTTTGGGTTGGCTTCTCAAATCTCTGGTGCTGAGGTCACTGAGGTGGTTAAAAAGCTCCTCTGTGGCAAGGCTCCGGGGGTGGATGAGATCCGCCCAGAGTTCCTTAAGGCTCTGGATGTTGTGGGGCTGTGTTGGCTGATGTGGCTCTGCAATATAGCGTGGACATCGGGGGCAGGCCCACTGGACTGGCAGACCGGGGTGGTGGTCCCCTTATTTAAAAAGGGGGGGGGGCATAGGGTGTGTTCCAACTACAGGGGGATCACACTTCTGAGCCTTCCTGGTAAGGTCTATTCAGAGGTTCTGGAGAGGAGGGTCCGTCGGATTGTTGAATCTCTGATTCTGGAGGAGCAATGTGGTTTTCGTCCTGGCCCTGGAACACTGGACCAGCTCTGTACCCTTAGGGGGATCCTGGAGGGTGCGTGGGAATTTGCCCAACCAGTCTGTGTTTTGTGGATTTGGAGAAGGCGTTTGACCTCGTCCCTCGGGGGGGGGGGGCCTGTGAGGGGTACACCGGGAGTATGGGGTACCAGGCTCTCTGATACGGGCTGTTGGGTCCCTGTATGACCTGTGTCAGAGCTTGGTCCGCATTGCTGGCAGTAAGTCGGGCTCATTCCCAGTGAGAGTTGGACTCCGCCAAGGCTGCCCTTTGTCACTGATTCTGTTCATAACCTTTATGGACAGGATTTCTAGGAGCAGCCAAGGTGTGGAGGGCATCCGTTATGGTGGCCTGAGGATCAGATCTCTGCTTTTTGCAGATGATGTGGTCCTGTTGGCTTCATCAGAACGTGATCTTCAGCTTTCACTGGAGCAGTTCGTAGCCGAGTGTGAAGCAGCTGGGATGAGAATCATCTCCTCTAAATGCTTCTCTGGGTCAGGGATGAGGTCCTGCCCCAAGTGGAGGAGTTTAAGTATCTCGGGGTCTTGTTCAGTAGTGAGGGAAAACTGGAGCGTGAGATCGATAGGCGGATTGGTGCTGCATCTGCAGTGATGCGGGCATTGTACCAGTCTGTCGTGGTGAAGAGAAAGCTGAGTCAGAAGGTGAAGCTCTCGATTTATCGGTCGATCTACTTTTCTACCCTCACCTATGGTCATGACCTTTGGGAAGTGACCGAAAGAACGAGATCGCAGATACAAGCGGCCGAAATGAGTTTTCTCAGAAGAGTGGCTGGGCTCTCTCTTAGAGATAGGGTGAGAAGCTCGGTCATCCGGGAGGGGCTCGGAGTAGACCCGCTGCTCCTCCACATCGAGAGGAGCCAGTTGAGGTGGCTCGGGCATCTGGTCAGGATGCCTCCTGGACGCCTCCCTGGTGAGGTTTTCCGGGCACATCCAACCGGGAAGAGACCTAAAGGTAGACCCAGGACACGGTGGAGGGACTTTGTCTCTCACCTGGCCAGAGAACACCTTGGGATTCCCCCAGAAGAGCTGGCCCAAGTGGCTGGGGAGAGGGAAGTCTGGGCCTCTCGCCTTAGGCTACTGCCCCCGCGACCCGACTCCGGATAAGTGGATGAAAATGGAAGGATGTTTGAGAATTACATGAAATTTGTTGTTCTTTGGAAATCAAAGAATTCTCCAATCAGCCATGAATTGGAAAGTTTATTTTACAACATAAGTAATCTGCAATTGTATGATTAAAACTGAATCCCATGTAATGATGGATATTATTTTTATTGCTCTAACTTGAATTATACATAATAATATCACTTTTAATGTTTTATCTGCAAACACACACAGACAGTGAAGAGGGACAAATTATTTATTTTGTTTTGATTGGCACACTGCAATATCCTAATTTCATTATCTGTTAGCTTGAAGAACACGACAGACTTTGCACACAATCACAAGAACACACAGGTACTCGTGTTGGAGTCATTTTTTCTGAGATAACTAAATTGTGATTCCCTTGCATAACGCATGAACCCCCATCACCATGCTGTAATTGCATGGACACTGGAGCATACAGCATTATCTGCGTGCCAGGTGGGTGTGCTTGCACTGATGTGCATTTGCTCTTTAGGACTGAGGCCTTTATGTTATAAACAGAAAAAGAGAAGGCCTTCATCTCTATCAGCTTTATTTTACGGTCCTTCCTCGTCGCATGCACAGATATGCTCATTCAACAAAACACAGCCACATCACTTGCATGTGAAAAAACCAAAATGACTGCATGTTCACTAACACCAAAGCCAATCACAGGCTGTTTAAATAAAATTAGAGCATAAAAGCACATTATTGCTTTAATGACCCAGCACTGTATGTTCTTACTTTTGATGAGGTTAGGACAAACTCACGCAAAACCAGTGCTCAAGAACATTTGATTTTATGTTTAATAAAAACTCCACTAACAGCAGTTTGTAGAATAAACAATTAGTCACCCTGCTCAACTAATGAAAAGGGCTTTGCTGTAAACTGCAGGGCATTTTAATAATGGTGACACCTGTCAGTCAGCTCATACTCCTTACCTTTTTTCTTTTGGCCAAATATCTAAACGTCGTGGACTGGATAACAGGACAGACTGAGTCATAACTTGGCTAGAAAATGCTTTTTGCAAGCTGGATGTTGGTGTCCTGACATTTGAAGATCTCCTAGGTGACAGCATGAGAGCTGGATTTTATACAAGATTAGTAGGAGGCTGACCTAAAATCTACATTTTTAAGGAGTTGAGTTTCCAGGCCTGACCAGCCTATTTCTCTCTCTGACCACTGAGTAGTCAAACAGTCAGATAAACCTTCAGAACTTCCTCATTTATATGTGATGTGGCTGTGCGTGCATCTGTGTGCATATTGTACACTGTGCAGTGTGGTTGTCTTCATGTGGAGACATCTGTTGCCTTAACTTAATTACAGCCTAAACTCCCCCCTTCTCCCAGAATGAGGCACAAGATCGCAAACTCCTTCTCGCTGTTTCTTTTTACAGATATGGCTTTTATAAAACACTCTTCTCCTTTATCTTTTCATTATTATTTGCCTTTTCTGTGCTGCGTTCAAATGAGGGTAAATTGTCTTCAAGGACTCATAAAGACAGCCTTCTGCCTTCAGCTGCTTTCTTGTGGGTTGAGATGTTTCCATGAACACACACCACAGTCGGAGACATGAAAATGCATGTTTTATGAATGATTTCAGGGTTCTTGTGAATTTTTATGGTCGGTGAGATTATTTTTTGTTGGTGTTATCCTTGAACAGATGGGCATTCCCTAAAATATACAGATGCTCATGTGGCATGTTTCTTTCAGGGTTTGCCAATGTACTGCTCTTTAATTACTCAATTTGTCCTGCTTTTGATGTCCGCTATATTATGCGTTTGTGTGGGTTTATTTCATGTGTCCACCTGCACTTTGTGCCCTCTTCACTGTGATCACTTCTTTGTCTACACAGGTGATTCCTAAAGACTACAAGACCATGACTGCCTTGGCTAAGGCCATATCTAAGAATGTGCTGTTTGCTCATCTGGACGACAACGAGAGAAGGTACAAAGCCATGTGATATTCTATAAGAAGCCTAAATGATTTATGATACAAGGAACTTCAATATGTGCTTTATAAGGTGGTAAAATTCTCTTATGATTATTGTGGCCACTTTATTGCCCTCATTGTCGCTGTGTGCCAGTGTTGGAGTCTAGGGAGGCACCAAGAGAGGGCCCGAACACGGGCAGAGGTGGTAGAAAAGAAGTTTAGGGTTGGGAAAGGGGTAACTGGGTGTGTTTGTGTATTTTGCTGGTTTCTATAGTAACCCCGGAGAACAGTCGTATTCTGTTGCACATTTAGAAATGGGTGGTAATGTACAGACAGCTCAGAAATAAACATTTATGTAAATATCTTTCAAGACGGTTTCTTCTATTCCTCTTTTTTTAAAAAGCATCTGCTTGCATTTTTAGATTCCTTCTTTCTTCAGTCATCCTCTCTTCATTCTGACATCTGCCCCAGATTTCCAGTGATGGCTGAGTCTAGCTCCGACTGTGGATGGGGTATTGTGGGAAAGACTCTCAGGTGGCTGGCGGGTCTGTCTGCCAGTCGGAATAGTGTTTCATTGGCGGGGCGAATCCATTATCCTCCATGGAGAGGAAAACACTGGAGCTTTCCTGTTGGCTAGAGCCTCCACGGGCCAAACCTAAAACATGGTTTTTCCAATCTTTTGTCAGCTGACAGTATGCAATGCTCCCTTGGCACAGGCGAGCAGTCCTCTGATTGCATGTCACTGCCTCTGAATGAGCCTTGAGCTGGTCACAGCATGTGATAGATGCAGACAGTTTGCAAAACCACATACTTGGGTGGCTGATGTGGCAGATTTCATGTATCACAAAAAATACCTGACAACAGACGATAAGCCATCAGGTTTTAATATACTCAAAGCTTTTTGCCATGCCAGGCTGTGTAATGCTGTTGTCATCAACTCTTGAAACCATGCATGATATAGATTTAATTGGACAGGCTTTCTTGGTTGCTTGTCACACCATGCACAGTTAGCATCTACATTGATGTTGCACACACAAAAATTCCTTATGGGATTTGTGTGTGAACATGCTGTTGTCAGGGCCTTAGGGTTTCATCAAGAGAAAATCAGGAAAATCTTTGCTGGAATTATGGACCGCTCTTGGGCTTTTTGTAAAAGAAGTAGAAGGAAACTACAGGACAGATCCAGTGATGGAGATATATCATTATATCTCAGCGACATCAGCTTAGGAATGAGTTGGATGGGTGGATTGATGGATATGTGAAAGGATGGATGGATGGATGGATGGATGGATGGATGGATGGATGGGTGGGTGGGTGGGTGGATGGATGGATGGATGGATTGGTGGATGGATGGATGGATGGATGGATGGATGGATAGGTGGCTGGATGGGTGGATAGGTGGATGGATGAATGGATGGATGGATAGATTGATAGGTGGATGGTTGGATGGATGGACAGATGGAATGGTGGATAGATAAAAAGATAGATGGATGGGTGGATGGATGGTTGGATAGGTGTATGGATGAATGGATGAATTGACAGGTGGATGAATGGATGGATGGATGGATGGATGCATGAATGGATAGGTGGAGGTATGGATGGATGGATGGATGGATGGATGGATGGACAGGTGGATGGATGGGTGGATAGGTAGATGGATGAATGGATGGATGGACTGATTGATAGGTGGATGGATAGATAGATGGACAGATGGAAAGGTGGATAGATAAATAGGTGGATGGATGGTTGTATGGTTGGATAGGTGTATGGATGAATGGATGAATTGACAGGTGTATGGATGGATGGATGGATGGATGGACAGGTGGATGGATGGGTGGATAGGTAGATGGATGGATAGGTGGCTGGATGGGTGGATATGTGGATGGATAAATAGATGGATGGATGGATCGACAGATGGATAGGTAGATAGATAAATAGGTAGATGGATGGGTGGATGGATGGTTGGATGGGTGGATGGATGGGTGGATGGATGGTTGGATAGGTGTATGTATGGATGGATGGATGCATGAATGGATAGGTGAATGGATGAATGGATAGGTGGATGGATGAACGGATGGATAGGTAGATGGATGGATGGATGCATTAATGGATAGGTGAATGGATTAATGGATAGGTGGTCCGATCGATAGTTGAATCTCAGATTGAGGAGGAGCAATGTGGTTTTCGTCCTGGCCGTGGAACTGTGGACCAGCTCTATACCCTTGCAAGGGTGATGGAGGGGGCATGGGAGTTTGCCCAACCAATCCACATGTGCTTTGTGGATTTGGAGAAGGCTTATGACCGTGTCCCCAGGGGCACCCTGTGAGGGACGCTCCAGGAGTATGGGGTGGGTGGCTTTCTGTTAAGGGCCATTCAGTCCCTTTACCAGAGGAGCGTAAGTCTGGTCCGCATAGCCGGTAGTAAGTCGGACCTGTTCCCAGTGAGGGTTGGACTCCGCCAGGGCTGCCCTTTGTCACCGGTTCTGTTCATCACTTTTATGGACAGAATTTCTAGACGCAGCCGTGGTGTGGAGTGTGTCGAGTTTGGTGGCAGGAGAATCTCGTCTCTGCTTTTTGCGGATGATGTGGTCCTCCTAGCTTCATCCAGCTCTGACCTTCAGCTCTTGCTGGGTAGGTTACGGCTGAGTGTGAAGCGGCTGGGATGAGGATCAGCACCTCCAAATCTGAGACCATGGTTCTCGACCGGAAAAGGGCGGCTTGCCACCTCCGGGTCGGGGGAGAGGTCCTACCTCAAGTGGAGGAGTTTAAGTATCTCGGGGTCTTGTTCACGAGTGAGGGTAGGAGGGATCGGGAGATCGACAGGCGGATTGGTTCGGCGTCTGCAGTGATGCGGACGCTGAGCCGATCTGTCGTGGGGAAGAGGGAGCTGAGCCAGAAAGCCAGGCTCTCGATTTACCGGTCGATCTACGTCCCAATCCTCACCTATGGTCATGAGCTTTGGGTAATGACCGAAAGAACGAGATCGCGGATACAAGCGGCCGAAATGAGTTTCCTCCGTAGGGTGGCCGGGCTCAGCCTTAGAGATAGGGTGAGGAGCTCGGACATTCGGGAGGGACTCGGAGTAGAACCGCTGCTCCTCCGGATCGAAAGGAGCCAGTTGAGGTGGTTTGGGCATCTGGTCAGGATGCCTCCTGGACGCCTCCCCGGGGAGGTGTTTCGGGCATGTCCTGCCGGCAGAAGGCCCCCGGGTCGACCCAGGACACGTTGGAGAGGTTACATCTCCAATCTGGTCCGGGAACGCCTTGGGGTCCTGCCGGAGGAGCTGGTGGACAAGGCCGGGGAGAGGATGGCCTGGAGCTCCCTAATTGGGATGCTGCCCCCGCGACCCGGACCCGGATAAGCGGAGGAAGACGAAGACGAAGACGAAGACGAAGACGGATAGGTGGATGGATGAACGAATGAATAGGTAGATGGATGGATGGATGCATGAATGGATAGGTGGATGGATGGATGAATAGATGGATGGATGGATTGATATAATGTAGTCAGCTACAGAAAACAACACAAATAGATGTAAATTATGGACGGATGAATTTTACCAGCAGACTAACGATAACTCCAAGTGTCCAATCTTCACATTCTTGAATTGATCCTATGTTCAGATTACATCATGAAAGGCCTTCCACTTCCTACAGCTGATTTAGATGGCTAGGAGTGGAGTTGGGCATGAACTTGATACCCACTCAGGGCACAGCTCCAGTAGATGTCATCTTAAATAAAACGATCTTTGTTGAATCAGCGTACTCGTCTGAGTGTTACGGACCATCGATAAAGGCAAGTGGATGTAATCAAACAGCTGACATTTTCTGATATTTGTAGCTTTTGCCGAGGGTCTCACTGGTTGGATGGCAGGTGAGTGCCTTCACAGTCAAAACAGGCTGATTTACGTAAAAAATGCACATCTGTCTCAACAGGTTTTATAAAAGACTTTTATGTGACTCACTATAACTTGTAATACCTGGATAAATATGAAACTCGACTCGACTTCAAAGTGGTAAACAACTCATTGTGTTTATGCCTTTGGATGTTGACATTATTGATTAAAGTACACCAGCGTTCTCTGGATGAGCCAGAACTTCCTTGGACTGACGCAGATGAGCAGATGGAGGATGAGCGCACAGCCCCCTCTCAGCCTTTCATTTTTGCTCTCCTCTCTCTCTGCAAGCAGCTGGCTCTTTGGCTCCTCAGATGTTCTAATGAATATGGTATCAGAAGCTTGTGACAGTTGGAACTTCTCATCATGAAGAGAATAAATCAACATCCCATATCAAAGTAAACTTTAAGCCTAGTTTTCACTTTCCTTTTAAAACCACCATCATCAGACTACGTCTCTAGTTTAACCTGCAGTGCAAATCTGTAGACATGTGTGTGTGTGTGTGTGTGTGTGTGTGTGTGTGTGTGTGTGTGTGTGTGTGTGTGTGTGTGTGTGTGTGTGTGTGTGTGTGTTTGAGTGATTAGTCACTCAGCACTTATGTAATCTGAGCACCACACATTTGTTCCCTCATTAGCACTATATTATACTATCATCCTCTTCAGTAAGGAGCAAGATTAAAAGCAATGAAGGCCTCTTTGTCTCCCTGCTCTCTTTTCAGCTCTCACCTTCTTTCTGTGGTCTCTTCTTGTTGTGTATCCGGTCTCACACTGCTTCTAATTCACAAGCTATCTTATCTTCTTAACATACTTTGCCAGTTTTCTAGGAATCTAAGGAGACAAGGCTGGCCTTTTGAGCAATGTACGTATGTTTCTTAAGCTTAACAAAGCTAGTCTTGTTTCCTGTTTATTTAGGAGTTTTGAAAAATATTAGAAATTTTTAGTTTGGTTTTATTTTTGTGATGCGAAATTAGTCGTTTTCCTTTGTCATCATTTATAGCTAAAACCACATGACTCAGAAGGATTTAAAGTTTCACTATTTATAAGGAAATATTTCTCTGACACCTAAATATCAACTTTTTATGGTACATTTCGTTTTATTGGGTACTTGTCAGCAGTAAAAAT